ACACAAGAGAAAATCCCAACATGATAACAAATGAACAGATCATAGCAATGTTCAAACTCAAGTTACTAATGAATGTCTAACTGAAAATGTATGCATTCACACATAAAATACACATAATACAACGTTTGCATTTAAAAATCACCTAAGTTAATAAGTTCCAAAAGGTGAAGCTGATTGTGATTGGGATTTTGATTTTGATTTTGATTGCGATTTTGATTTCCTTTTGCTTGGCACCATATGAGCTTTGGATTTTGATGAGGATCCATTTTTTTGGTGGAGGAAAAGATGATTGTGATGGCACTGGTGATCCACAGGTCAACCTTATATGACCACTTTCCTTGCACCGACTACATGTCGATATCCTCTTCTCTTCACCCTTAGACGGTATACGATCGTGATTTTTTGGTCGGTCAGGTAGCCTGCTGTCCATGACTGGTGGCAAAATTATTTGTAAGTCATCTGGTATGTCCCACTTAGAAGGATGTGGACATGGGTAGACAATCTCGGCATAAGTCTGTCGATATACTTCTGTAGTGTAGCAATCCATAGTGTATGCGCTTGAATCATCTTGGTTTAGATGAAGAGCAACTTTTATAACATGGCCACACGGATAACCAGATGTTTTCCATTTCTTACAACTACACGTCTTTGCATTTAGATCGACAAGCCCATTTAAGTTATTATTCAATACTTCAAACAAAGTGTTTGAACATGGTTCAACTCTCAATGACGTTGACTTTACAACACGTTTCGTTATCTTTTTTTTAGTCCATGGTGTAACACGACGTTCCAATGTTCCTGTAAATTTAAATAAATAATACTTAGTAAAATATATGATAAGTTACGAATTTAAAGAAATAATACCTGCATGGTTTCTTTTCTTGTAGTACCACTGTTGAATAGAGGCTCGAAAAAACTCCATTAACATAGTAATGAGTAATTTTCAGGAATGACGACTTAGAGTGTTGATTGATTCTGTACTATTAGACGTCATGAAACCATATCTTGCTCTAAGTTGATGTACTCTTGACCATCTTTCAAACCCGACATCTTCTAGTGTTTGAGCACATTGAGGCAAAACACGTCTTAAACAATTTATATGCTTATTAAAATCCACTTCTCGATAAGCTTTTACAGCCTTCCAGTATGTTCATTTGTGATTTTTTATACCAGTAGACCTTGATTTTATATTTCTGTACAAATGAACACCACAAAGTCCATGAAAAGCATCTGGGAAACACCTTCTAACAGCGTTGTCAATTGAGTTTGCCCTATCGGATATGATTGTCGGATTGCTAATATGACCTATGCAATCCCTAAGATGCCCCATAAACTATGTCCATGAATCAGAGGTTTCAGATTTGCCAACCCCGTAAGCTATTGGCAGTATCCCTTTGTTAGCATCCATGGCTACTGCTAATAAGTTTACTCCAAGGTATCGACCTTTCAAATGTGCTCCGTCAACTATAATAACTGGCCGCATACAAGTAATAAACAAACGAATCTACAAAATCATATACACAAGAAATATAACCATTTAAATGTGAAATGCATGCAACTAACAAAAATGAGTCAATAAAATTATAATTATTTACTAACCGCAGCACCAATGGCGATAAACAGCAACTCAAAGTGTCCATCTCTATCTGTTTTGATATGAGTTACCGACCCAGGATTTTTCAGCTTTAAATTGTGACAATAAGCCGACAGTTGGGCAAACGATGACATTTGGCTCTCCAAGCTTGAGAATATGAGATACTAATCTTGAACCGAGCATTCATGTCAGTCATAATTTCATGTCCCCGATATACCCTTCCATTCAAAAACATTAACTCATCCAGAAAACCACCCAACACCTTTTTGTTTGCCTGTCTATGGTGAGGAAAAACTTGGGTTCTTGAACATGTATGTTTATCAATAAAAGTCCTAACTTGAAACATTTCGCAATATTTTATCCTCTTTGCAATCATACACCACGTACAGTTTTTGTCAATCATACACTTTGTTTCGAAACGATCTTTGCTTGATTTGTTAACTTTTAGTTGATAGCCATCTTCCACACATTTCGTATACAAAGCTATCTTCAAGTCTTCCTTTGTATCAAAACAATCATCTTTCTTGATACAAATAACTTTTGTGTAACAATCAACTGTTATCTTTACCAACTCTTCTTCCGGTATCTGAAGTAATTCTGGCGTATTCCAGTTATACTCTCGTGTCATTTTCTTCTTTTTCTTTTCTTCGGGGACTTCTTCTTCTTATTTTTCTTCTTCAGGGTTATATGAATTACAGAATGGATGTTCAACATGTTCATTCACTCGTAACTTCCTCCTCATTATCATCAACAACATCTTCCTCGACAGCGGCTGTTTCATCATCAAAATTTGGGTATTGACCAATATCAAAATCATTACATGCAGGGTATGTTTCTTCTTCCATCACATCATCAAAATCCGAGTATTGACCAAGATCAAAGTCCGGGTATTGACCAAGATCAAATTTCGAATACTGACTAGTACTCACAAATTTTTCTGTTGGCTCATAATCTTCTAACTGGTCAATACAAAAATAGAAATTTGGTGCTGAAAGTTTATTGGGATTTGTATTAGGAAAAGGTTATAGGTTTTGAGATTGTGTTTGATATTGTGTTTGGTATTGGAAATGTGGTGAAACAAAATTTTCCTGGTGATGAAATTGTGGTGGAACCATTAAATTTTGAGGTTGATAACAACATTGTACATTGTGAGCACCATAAACTGGGGTTGAAGAACTTAGTTGATTACTACCCGCTACTGACCCAACTTCACTACTTCTAGGTTCAACAACATACAATGTAACATCATCTTCTTGCGAAACACTAATATAAGCAATGAATCGTTCAACATCTTCATTGTCGGTTAACAAATAAACTTTACCTTTTCTCTGATAAGATAGCCTAAATCCACTTAGAGGCTCTAAATTCAATTTCTTTGCAACACGTAACATTAGAGTTTCATAAGTTAACTTTTTTAATGATAGTTTTAGTTGAAGATTCATGGGTAAAGACACATATTGTAAAACACCATGAACATTCTCCCATGACCCTCCAAAACACAAATCTATCCAAACATGATCAACATTAGATGATTTCATTCTACAAATTGTAAATTAATTTACTAAACAAACGAGCTATAAACTAGATATCATCACTAACTTAGAGAAAAACATACCTTTATTAAGTTGATAGTTGATAATTTGGGAGAGAAATCATTGAAAAATTATATAGAAATAAAATTATGTAAAAAAAATTAGAGATATGGAAGGATGTCGTTGGATATAGGAACGGATGTCGCCGGATAGAGTGATAGATGGAGATGGAATATGTTGAGATTTAGGGATTTAGGTTATGAGTTGTTGCTGCTGCGTTATTATATACCCAAAACATTTGTGTTGCGAAGCTAAAACCAGTTGCGAAATTAAATTCGTGTTGCGAATTCGAAAATCTAGTTGCGAATTTGAAATTCCGCGTTGCGAATTTGACTTTTGTGTTGCGAATTTGACTATCGCGTTGCGACTTTGACTTCTATGTTGCGATTTACAGATTCGTGTTGCGATTTACAGATTCGCGTTGCGAATTTGACTTTTGTTTTGCGATTTACAAATTGGCGTTGCGAAATTGGAAACTGGGTTGCGAAATTGGAGTTCGCGTTGCGAATTTGTTGGTCATTTTGGCAAATCCAAAAAAAGTTGGTTAAAATCGTATATTATAAGGTATTTTTGGTCACTGAGGTTATTTTCTCAAAAAAATATCATCATATTAAATTTTAAGATAAATTACATATTCAATTACTTACCTATTCATATTTTTTTGGATCGCATAATTATTTTTTATAAAATCATATTATAGTTACGTTTTGGTCATCAGTCTTTATTTTTTAACTATTTATGTTATAATTTTCTTTTTATTTTTTTCAATGATGTCATGTCATTATTTTATGGTGACATGTCAATATTACTGTTAATTGTTTAACAATGAGTAATCAAAATAGAATCAAAATATAATATTAGATATAATTTTGAGAAGAAATAATTGGATGATCAAAATAAAATCATGTGAATAAATGAATTACTAAATATGTAGTTTATCCTAAATCTTTTACAATATTAATTATTAATTATTTAAATTGCTACCTATCTAGGGTATTACAAATTACTGCTCCAGCTCAATCTTCAACTACTCAAATTTCATTCGAAATATCCAAACGAAATTAAGACATTTCAAATTCCTTTTTTTTAAAAAAAAAACATAATATCAACATTGATAGCATGAGATAAAGTTTTCATCCATTACTATCTGATACAAATTTAATCATCATTCATCACCGATTATAACTATCTGATACAAATTTAATCATCATTCATCACCGATTATAAGTATGATTTATATAAATCAATTTCTCATCCATTACTATCCATGGGGAGTTTCATGTAAGAATAACATTATAATATTCAACACTAATTATATAGTCTTACATTACTGGAGAATTAAGTAGTAGTGACATTCCCACCAACATTCTTAAATAACAACCACTATTGATAATATTACAATATTGATTTCTAAAAATGGAAACCAAATATAAGAATAAAATTCTGAAATTTTACATTGACTCTACTAATCTAACATTCTTCCAATCAAGCATACTTGTAGAATGACAATGAAGTAACAAACAAGAAAATTTCACTCGAATAATAGTTGAAAGAACAATTTCATTATTTACTATTACAGTGAAAACTTTACTAAATTTTTATGTTTATTTTTGACTAAAAAAGGGAATAATAATTGTTCGAAATATATTTAAAATCTAATATCAAGTAAAATCTTTCACCGGTAGTGACGAAATTTTATATTTCTTTTTATAGAATTATAGGACTTGTGATGGAAAATAGAATGATTTTATGAAGAGGACAAAAGAGTAGCGATGGGAGAAGCCCAGAAAAGCCCTGAATCTTAACAGATTTATTGGCAATGGCCCATCAATACTGGTTTATCACAGAGGCAGCGTGAGCTACCGAGCTTGGGCAGAGAAAGCTAGCTAGGGTTTCCTTCCACAATGATTTACGACGTCAATTCTCCTCTCTTCCGCTCATTCCTCAGCCAGAAAGGCGGTTCCTCCGATAAAAGGTTCTCTCTCTTTCGTTATCTTTTTTATCCTAATTTTGTATGTAATTTGCTACCATTTTGGTTTAATTAAAATGTTATTAACGTGAATGATTATAGTCGTTGGGAGTGATTTATTTATTTATTTCTTTCTTTTTTAATGTTGTATAAAGGTTGAAGCTCCGTTGGTCTAAGGGAAATATTATTAAGTTCTTATTTTTTTTCTCCTGAATTTGACCGGATCATATGCCCTACAATTTTTATTTCAATTATTTAACATATGTTTTGGAACTATTTAGTGAAAGATTACAGCTTTCCGAAATATTTGTGGTTGCGAACAATATGAATCTGATGTTAGAATTAGGATCCCTTGTGTCTAATTTGTTTGAACTGGACTTAGCTAGCGGGTTTATTGTTTGTTCTCATGAAATTAGGAGGATTTGATAGATAATTGTTTTAATTGCTTCTGGCAACCATGGTTCCGGAGAGTCCATCTACTGGGTTCTATACCGTAACCTGAAGCTTACAACTTAGTGAACTTAGTGAAAGTGTATTATCAATAGAAAATATATACGAGAATTTGAAAATTTTAAGGGGTGTCTTTCTCGGCCAGCCCCCTCGGTCAATCCTTGTAACTCCAACTTTCAGTGAAGCATGTTTTGAAGCGATCTCTTTTTATTTAACACCTGTGGCTGTATAAAATTGAGGAACAAATTTGGTTTCAAAAATCTAGATCGAAATGTGTGGAACAAGGGGATCACAATACAAGATTTTTTTCATACATGTGCTTCAGTTAGGAAGAAGATGAATTGCATGAGTGCTCTAAATGTTAATGGTGAGGTTATTCAAGATCCGGCTATTATTAAAGCTAGTGACAGGGACCATTTTTTCGAAATTTATAACTCTAAGTCTACCTTGGAAGTTGAAGATTTGAAGTTGAATTTTTCCAGAATTTCAAAGGAACAAAGTCTTCTATTAGAAAAAGAATTCTCGGAGGAAGAAATTTGGGAGACTATTAAATCGTGTGATAGCAACAAAGCTCCCGGGCTGGATGGTTTTAATATGGGTTTTTTAAAAGATTTTGGTCTATCCTCAAGGTAGATAATCTGAAATTCTTCCACAATTTTTATTTGGGGAAAGATTGGGAACATGAGATAAATCACACGTTCATTACTTTAATCCCAAAGGTGTCCAACATTGGTGGTTTAGATGATTATCGTCCTATTAGCCTAGTAGGAGGGTTGTACAAGATTCTTTCAAAGTGTCTTTCGAGGATATTAAGAAATTGTATTAGTGATATAATCAGTCCTACACAGTTTGCATTTATCCCAGGCCGTCAAATATTGGATTGCTCTCTTATAGCTAATGAGGGGTAGACTTTTGGAGGAAAAAATGACTTAAGGGATGTGTGTTTAAGGTGGATTTCAGGAAGGCCTATGATACAGTGGACTGCTCTATACTTTTTCTAGTTATGGGGAAAATGGGCTTTGGCTCCAAATGGAGCAATTGGATTAGACAGTGTGTTACAACAACTTCAGTTTCTGTTTTGGTCAATGGGGTCCCTTCTGAGGAATTTCCAATGGCAAAGGGTCTTTGTCAGGGTTGTTCTCTTTCTCTATTGCTTTTCAATTTAGTTGGGGAACTTCTAAACCTACTGCTTTTAAAGGCAGTTTCTGAAGGGTTGTTTTCTGGTTTGCAAGTTGGTAGGAATAAGACTACTGTTGATTTTTCTCATTTGCAGTTTGCAGATAACCTTATAATTTTCTGTGGTGCTTCCGAGAAGCATATTTTAAATGTCAAGAGGGTTCTTAGAGTTTTTGAAATAATGTCTGGACTTCAACTGAACGTAAAGAAAAGCAGATTATTTTGTGTCAATTTGAGTTAAGAGAGATCGAGGAGTGGGCAGGAACTATTGGTTGTGCTGTTAGGTTTTTCCCCTCTGATTACCTAGGGCTTCCTCTTGGTGCAAAAAGGAATTCTTCATCATTTTGGGATCCGGTTGTTCAAAACTTTTATAACAAACTTGTTGGTTAGAAAGCTGCCACTCTTTCTTTGGCAGGGAGGTTAGTTTTGGTCAAGTCGGTTCTTTGCTCACTTCCAACCTATTATTTGTCGCTATTTAAAATCCCCTCGGTTAATTCTAAACTAAATTCCATTCTAAGTTCTTATGGGGAGGTGGATTGGAGAGAAACAAGATTCATTGGGTTAAATGGTCCACTGTGTGCAAGCCTAAGAATGAGGGAGGTTTGGGAGTGCTAAATCTTATCAATATGAACAGAGCCCTTCTGGGGAAATGGTCTTGGAGGTCTGCTAATGATAGGAATGTTGTTTGGAGGATGTTGATATGCTCTAAATACAATCTTGAATCCTCCTCAATAATATTTAATAGCAAAGTTCCAAATCAAGCTTCTTGGATTTGGAGTTCAATGGTCAATAATCATTTTAAAGAAGACTCATTTGGCTCCAATTTTCGTAGTATGTGCATATTTCAAGTGGGTAATGGTGAGTTGATTCAGTTTTGGCAAGACCATTGGGCGATGGACTGGTCGCTCAAGGATTCTTTCCCTAGACTGTTTTCTATTTCTTCTAATAAGAGCGGAAAATTAGTTGAGTTTGGTGAGTTTAGTTCAATGGGATGGATTTGGAATCTTTAGATGAGAAGGAATTTGGCAGATTGGGAATTTGAACAATGGGCAAATTTGATGTCAATTATTTCGAATTTCTGCTTGTCTAAAGAGGCTTCTGATGGACTGATCTAGAAAGGAAATGGGGTTGGTGTCTTCTCTGTGTGTGAAGGTGTGTTCATCGGATTCCCAGGAAATTCAGTTCTGGAAAAACATTTTGTGGAAAGGTTTGGTGCCTCGTAGAGTAGAGCTATTCATGTGGCAGGTGGTACTTCAAAAGCTGCCAGTGAAGACAGAATTGGTTAAAAGAGGGGTTACGGGTATTGAAGATGTTTCTTGCCCTCTTTGTAAATCGGTGGATGAATCTTCTCCTCATTTATTTTTCTCTTGTCTTATTGTGTGGTCAATTTGGAACAAATTAATGCAATTTTGGAGTCTAAGTTCGGTTATTCATGTCAATACGCAAACCTTTCTCCTAGCATGGGAAGATTTGAACTCTAAATCTGTTATTTGGAAGTTTATTCCTGATGCTGTTATTTGGACTATTTGGAAAGTCAGGAATGCCATTGATTTTTAAGGCAATGAGTTAGACAAGATTGACTTATTTTTCTTAGCAAGATTCAAGCTTGCTTCCTGGTTCTTAGCTAAGTATAAAGATTCTTCTATTTCTAAGGACTTTCTTATCTGTGACCCATTTATAGGGGATTCTTGTTTCCCCATAACAATTCTATATTCACTTCGATCAAATTGAATGTGGATGCATCTACCAGTGGGGATTGGAAGAGAAGTGGAATTGTATTCTAAGAGATGATGCTGTACTTTTTCTTGGCTCTTTCAATGAGGCTTTAGGTCCGGGTCCACCTACTATGATGGAGCTAAAGGCTATTTAGAAAGGATTATCTTTTTTTTATTCATTGAAAGGAAGTATTAAGGGTCGGTTGATTATTGAAACTGATTGTAAAATGGCAGTAGATTGGGTTGAGAATGGTGTTATTTGTTCTATGATGTATGTCTTAATTGTCAGGGATATAGCTGAAAGGCTGAAAGAATTGGAGGGTGTAATTAGATGGGTTGCTAGGACAGCCAATATGGAGGCAGATGCGCTAGCTAAGGCTGGTATAGGTTAATTACAGTGTGGTTTTTAGGGGTATTTTATTTTGGGTCTTCGGGTTCTTTGTAAGGGTTTTTTATGTTGTTTTAAATCTTATGTATCTTTTTCTATTAATGAAGCATAAGGCACTCTTTTCCTCCATCCCCTGACTAAGGAAATTATTTTGAGTTCCATTAATCATGAAGGGGGATTTTAATGAGGCCTTCAATTCTTATCAAAAAAATTTAACACCAGTGAATTGTTTTTTTTATGGGTTATGATCACAATTTAGAGGAACTATATGCTTATGTCATTCGGGCTTAGCTTGTTTTACTGTTCAAGTGCTTATTTCTTCTACAACACTCTTTGCTACAAATGATGATTATTTGAGGGTTTTCTTATGCGTCATTTGCAATCTGCCACCTTTGGTTTTACCTTCAGCTACTCAAATTTTATAGAAAGGGTTTTGCTCTAATGGCATGCTTCTATTCTTTGGGTATAAATGTGACTCCATTATACAGGAAAATGGAGGAACAGAGACGCAAAGCAAATGAGAACAAACCAGTTATGACAGAGTAACAGATGCTTTCCCTCTAGTATGCTTTAAGATGGAAAAGGTTGGTGGATGTTTTAGGATGGAAACGCTACCATAATGGTTTTTCTTCTTTGAATTGGAATGAACATATTCTTATCTGGCTTTTAAGCTTGTATTTACATGTTGCTATGGATGTTATTTAAGTTCGTGCTGGAATATCCGTAGATTTATTTGCAATGGGGGCATTAATGATTTAATTCTATCAATAGATTTGTATTTAAGGCATGAGTGGGCTTTAGGAATAGCAAAGGTGGCACACCATATGTGTTGCACATGGATTTTACCTAAAAAGCTTACATTAGCTTCTTTTCCCCCAAAGCTGCGAGCAATGGACCATAAAAATAATCAATATCCGTGCATCTTCAAGCTCCAAATCAACTTAATCTATTAGAAGTAGCCCATGTATTTTGTTACTCATTTTCTTCTTAAGCACACTTTTTCCGCTGTTACATTTTTACCATTTCCCTCTATTTTCTATTTTCAACGTAATACTTTCTGTTCTTAATGAAGTTTACAGAAGCAAAGTGCCCCACAGCGCTAGTCATTGATAATTAATGAAGTGCCCCTCCTTTTTTTATTTGAGTCAAAACTTCAACTCAAAGCTACCATCCTTTCAATCAATCTTTATCTGTCAGTGTTAGGTATAATTATGAAATTAACAGGTCATATGAAAGCAAACTAGATAAGTTTTTATGTTCTTTTTTGTAGCTTTTTACTGAAATATCACTTTCATATTCATTAATTACTTGTAAGATATTCTGTTAATATTATTAATTTAACACTTTTTTATAAAACGCGAATAATCATATGTATCTTCATAGGTTTTATCTGAGCTGACGTCATGTAGAGGAATGCATATATCATTATTCGTGTTCGCTGAACCTTTGACACATACAAAAATTACTAATTTCATGAAACGTTTTTTTTATGGGAAATATTAACATGATGTCCCATGAGAAAACAAGTTTTAAGGGGGCATGCTTTTTAAGATTCACTTTATCTCTTAAATCATTTTTTAAAATATATGCTTTAAAAAGTTTAAAAAATAAAATTATTGAAACTAACATCGTAATTTAGGGTCTGTTTGTTTGCCCTAATTGGAATTACGAATTGGTTTTTCCCGAATTCTTGTGTTTGTTTCACGTAATTCGTTTTTCGGAAAATGTTTTCCCGTGTTTGTTTCACGTAATTCGTTTTTCGGAAAAATGTTTTCCAGTGTTTGTTTCACGTAATTGGTTTTCCTGAACATAATTCATATTCCTAGTAACAAAATTTTCTTTTTGTTTTCTGGAAAAAGACTTACGGATTCATTTTTCGTAAGTCATTTTCCGAACTTTTCACTTCAAAGAATAAATATTTAAAATAATTTTATTTTATGAATTTATTATTAATAAAATATTTTAATATCATTTTCATCAAAATATTATTTATTAATTTATTAATATTTATAATAATATAATATTATATTTTTAATATTATATAAAATAATCAATTATATTATAATAATATAAGATATTATATATATATATTTAATAATATATAATAAAAAAATTATATATTTAATAATGAATAATATTATTTATATATTTTAATAATATTTTAATAAAGATATTTAAAATATACTAATTAATATTTTTAAAATATAATATAACACTATTACTTTAATAAATAATTTATAATATTTATAATATTTTTATTTCACTAAAATATACAAAAATTAATATTTTTATTAATAAAATTATAAAATTACTATTTAATAATAAATAAATTATTTTTAATAATAAAAAAGTTTTATGATAAATAATATTATTTATTGTATTTAATATTTGTAATAAATAATTTTTAAAAAACTCTTCAACTAGTGAAAAAAATATTTAAATAACATATTCCAAACATCATAAAACGTTTTCTAGATGTTTTTCAGAAAAATGTAATTCATTTTACGAAAAACATTTTCCGGAAAACGTTTTCCAAAAATGTAATTCATTTTCCAGAATTCAAATTCCAGTAATTCAAATTTCAGTAATTCATTTTCCGGAAAACCAATAACAGCCAAACAAACAGACCCTTAATACATATTGATTTCATGAGTTGAAAAGCTTAATGAGATTATCTTATATATGGATATTATAGTGTTTATGTTATATTTCTTGACAATGTGGGATAACAATGTGAGATAAAAGTTAAAAGGTGTATTCCTTAACTTTTTTATCTCTATATGTAATGAATCTACTTATACACTATTGTTAACTCTTTCGGGATCTCTCCTTTAAAATTGTTGAAGGTCAGATACCTAATCAATTTTTTCGTTAGTAGAAAGCAACAATCTTGATTATCATAACGTGAAAAAAATACTTACATGTGCTTCTTACAGATGTGTTGGACTCTTAAGCTTGCCAATTTCAGAAGGAATAACATCTTGTAGTTTATTTCATCTTAAATTACTATAACAAAAACATATAATTAAATAAATTACATGAAAATTACTCATTATCTCATAATATATATTTAAAACAAAAGAACACAATATTTTAAGGCGTTTGAGTCACCCAAATATAATTAATCTTATATTCGATCTTACATGAGTATATCGTTTCCCCTTTAATATATATCAGCTTCAAAATTTAATATAGGATAAACCTTAATAATAAATATTAACCTAATGTAATTATTTAAATATATTAACATATAAAAAATATCTAATCTTAATTAATGTAAATCTTATAATAAATATTAACCTAATGTAATTTAACAATAGTGTATAAGTAGATTCATTAGATATAAAAATAAAAAAGTTAAGGAATACACATTTTACCTTTTATCCCACATTGTCAAGAAACGTAACCTAAACACTCCAATATGCCTATATAAGTTAACCTCGTTAAGCTCTTCAACTCATGGAACTAATATGTATTAAATTATGATGTTAGTCCTTATAATTTTATTTTTTTATTTTTAAATAATATTTTTTAAATACTTTGAGGGATGATGTGGACTTTGGAAGGTGTAACCCTTGAAATACGTCTTCTCATGTGGCGCCATGTTAACATTTCCCATAGAAAGCGCACTTCATAATCTGCGCCTTCCGTATATGTCAGAGATTCAGCGAAGGCGTAAGTAACGATCCATTCATTCCCTTATGTAGCGCCAGGTTGGACAGAACCTCGTGAATGCACGGATGGTGATCCGCGCTTTGTCAAAAAATGTACTAGATTGGAAATATTAAGAGAGAGAGAGAGTCTGACAAGTAATTAATGGGTTTAAGGTTGATATTTCGGTAAAAACACCTCTAATTAATGGGTTTAAGGTGAACTTTTTTTTCTTTCTAAAACTTTGATTAGGTTTGTTGCCAAAATTTTAATCATCTCTAACATTTAAGATTCTCTAATAATTCTGGGTTAGTTTGTACTGATGTTTATTGCTTTTACAGTAGACGAGGTTTTTTCCATCAATCATATTACTAAATACTCATAATTTCTCATTTAAGATAAATATTGATATTGATGGGTAAATTACACTACTAAACTTTGCTCTCTCTCCTATTTTACTTATCATACTTTTAATTTTTTTTCAAATTACTTAATAAACTTTATACATTGGATTTTTCTCTCTCTCGTAGATAATGTGGCTTATTTTATTAATTTTTTTCATATGGCATGTCATATTTTATTAATATTTTAATATCAAATATGATTAAAATAAAAAAAAATCAAAATTATAAATATACTCTTACATTGTACATAAATTCCTAAATTATATCCTAAATCTTAAACCCCAAATTACAATCCCACCCTCCCTCCCACTGACGAATAATAAAGCTCACATCTTCCCCTCACTCTCTTATTCATCCTTCACGACCCTCAATCAAACCAATCAACACAACCATAACATCCTCTAAAACTATATCCAAACCCCAAGCACAATAAATGATAACAACCAACAAAGGATAAGAATAAATTATATGGATTAAATCAACGATTCAACAACAAAAATTTCAAAACAAAAGCAAAGAATTAACTATTTAGCAAATAAATAAATAAGGGAAAGAGATAACTTTACCTTCGGATTTTCAAAAAGGGCGGCTCCAACGATGGGACAACATATCCAAACAGTGAGGAGTGGCGTTATGACGAAGGGACCAATAATTCTTCATTTGAGCTTCATTCAACGGCGATCGACGGAGATTGGAGAGCATGAAGCCTAATGATTTTGGTACTTATTCGTTAACATCGAAGCATTTTTCGACGAAACTAAGGGTGGATTCGTGCTAAAGAGGTCAAAAAGGTTTAGACTGGAAAGTTTGGAGCTCAACGACCACTTGTAACTCCCTAGAGCCAGCCTATGCGTTACGACTAGGTCTAGCGGATTATAATAAAATTTTCCAAAACATTTTTCGATAATTTAAAACCATATTATAAATAACATCTTTAAAAACATAGTTAATAACAATAAAGTCCAAACAAGTAAATGTAAAACTATAAGTGACTGAGTAAAATAAAATATGTCATAATCAATATTGCAATCAATCTAACATCAGTAGCAAAAAGTATAAATCGTAAAACAAGTGTTTCAAATATAGACACTTGTAACTGAAAATGAGCAGTTCGAAAGATAAAAACATTACAACATAATGTATTGTACGAATGTGTCGATCCTCCAAGTGTCAGGTCCAGGGTGCCTATCCAAAAGTATTTAAAAGGGGAAAAAGTTTGAAAATGTGAGCTAGGGAGCTCATTATGTTCCAATGGTGCAAGTAAAACGAAATGGGTAAAATAATTAATAAATAGTTTAGTAAAGTATCATAAAAGTCACAGTGAAGTTTAAATTCTAACACTCATAATTATCTTTATCCAGTACACCAAAATGCAGTTCCCTATAACTGCATCCATAAGGGCTTATCTTATACCCATTGGTTATAGGAGCCAACCTAAGGGAGCATCTTTGTAACATCCCAACCCGTATCCGACCCGGATACGGGTTCGAGATGTCACATTGACTTTTTGGAACAATAATCTTGTAAGATAGAAAAACATTTGAACTTATAATAAGAAAATACTATTAAATTATGCTTCATTATAAAAATTCAAGTCAAATATGTATTTATGAACAATACTGTGAACAGTACTATGAACAGTGTCGTGAACAGTACCATGAACAATGAAAAATTTCAAATATAAATTATGTATCGATGCACTGCTACAGTACTGCTACAATAACAT